AGCACGGCCACGACGACGACACCGACCATTACGACGACGACCACGACGACGACCACGACGCCGACGACGACCACGACGACGCCGACGACGACGACCACGATGCCGACGACGACGACGATGACGGCGACGACGCCGATGCCGACGCCGACGACCACGACGACCACGACCACGACGACCACGGCGACGACGACGACGACCACGACGTCGACGATGGCGACGACGACCACGACGACGACCACGACGCCGACGACGACCACGACCACGACGACGACGACGACCATGACGACGACGACCACGACCACGACGACTACGACGATGACCACGACGACTATGACGACGACGACGGCGGCGACGACGCCGATGCCGACGCCGAGAACAACGACGAAGACGACGACGACGACCACGGCGACGACGACGACGACCACGACGACGACGACGGCGGCGACGACGACCACGACGCCGACGACGACCACGACGACGACGACGACCACGATGCCGACGACGACGACGACCACGACCACGACGACGACGACCATGACGACGACGACCACAACGTCTGCGACGACGACGACCACGACGACGACCACGACGCCGACGACGACGACGACCACGACGACGACGGCGACGACGCCGATGCCGCCGACGACGACGACGACCACGACGAAGACGACCACGGCGACGACGACGATCACGACCACGACGACGACGACCATCACTACGACGACCACGACGACGACCACGCCGCCGACGACGACCACGACGACGACCACCACGACGCCGACGACGACCACGACGACGGCGACGACGACGACCACGACGACGACGAACACGACCACGACGACGACGACCATGACGACGACGACCACGACGACTACGACGACGCCGACGCCGACGACGACCACGATGCCGACGACGACGACGACCACGACGACGACGACGATGACGGCAACGACGGCGATGCCGACGCCGAGGACCACGATGAAGACGCCGACGACGACCACGGCGGCGACGACGACGACCGCGACGACGACGATGGCGACGACGACCACGACGACGACCGCGACGCCGACGACGACCACGACCACGACGACGACGACGACGACCACGGCGCCGACGACCACGACGCCTACGACGACGACCATGACGACGATCACGACGCCGACGACGACGACAACCACGACGACGACGACGACGTCGACGACGCCGATGCCGCCGACGACGACGACGAAGACGACGCCGACGACCACGGGGACGGCGACGACCACTATGCCGACGACGACGTCGACCATGACGACGACGATCACGACGACGACCACGACGCCGACGACGACCACGACGACGACGACGACGCCCCCGATGCCGACGATGACGACGACGATGACGGCGACGACGCCGATGCCGACGCCGACGACCACGACCATGACGACCATGACGACGATGACGGCGACGACGACGACGACCACGACGACGACGACGACGGCGACGACGACCACGACGATGACCACGACGCCGCCGACGACCACGGCCACGACGACGACCACGACCGTGACGAAGACGACCACGACGACCAGTACGACGACCAAGACGACGACCATGACGCCGACGACGATGACGACGACCACGACGACGACGACGACGGCGACGACGCCGATGCCGACGACGACGACCACGACGAAGACGACGACGACCACGGCGACGATGTCGACCACGACCACGACAACGACGACGACCATGACGACAATGACCACGACGACGACCACGACGCCGACGACGACCACGACGACGACCACGACGACGACGACGACCACGACGACGACCACGACGACGACGACGACGACGGCGACGACGATGACCACGACCACGACGATGACGACGAAAATGACGGCGACGTCCACGACGACTACGACGACGCCGACGACGACGACGCCGACGACCACGACGCCGACGTCGTCCACGACGACGACGATGACGGCGACGACGCCGATGCCGACGCCGACGACAACGACGAAGACGACGACGATGACCACGGCGACGATAACGACGACCACGACGACGATGACGACGACGGCGACGATGACCACGACTCCGACGACGACCACGATGCCGACGACGACGGCGACCACGACCACGACGACGACGACGACCATGACGACGACGACCACGACGACTACGACGACGACCACGACGACGACCACGACGCCGACGACGACGACGAACACGACGACGACGACGGCGACGACGCCGTTGCCGCCGACGACGACGAAGACGACGAAGACGACCACGGCGACGACGACGATCACGGTCACGACGACGACGACGACCATGACGACGACGACCACGACGACGACCACGACGCCGACGTTCACGACGACAACGACCACGACGACGACGACGACGACTACGATGCCGACGACCATGACGATGATGATGACCACGACGACGACGACGACCACGACCACGACCACGACGACGACGACGACCATGACGACTACGGCGACGCCGACGCCGACGACGACCACGACGCCCACGACGACGACGATGACGGCGACGACGCCGATGCCGACGCCGACGACCACGACGAAGACGACGACGACGACCACGGCGACGACGACGACGACGACGACCACGACGCCGACGACGACCACGACCACGACGACGACGACGACCATGACGACGACGACCACGACGACTACGACGACGACTACGACGACGACCACGGCGACGACCACGACGACGACGACGACGACGGCGACGACGCCGATGCCGCCGACGACGACGACGAAGACGACGACGACGACCACGGGGACGACGACGACCACGGCCACGACCACTACGACGACCATGACGACGACGACCACGACGACGACCACGACGCCGCCGACGACCACGACGACGACGACGACCACAATGCCGACGACGACGACGATGACGGCGACGACGCCGATGCCGACGCCGACGACCACGACGAAGACGTCCACGACGACCACGGCGACGACGACGACCACGACGACGACGACGGCGACGACGACCACGACGACCACGACGCCGACGACGACCACGACGACGACCACGACGACGACCGCGACCACGACGACGACGACCACGACGACTACGACGACGACCACGACGACGACCACGACGCCGACGACGATGACGACGACGACGACGGCGACGACGCCGATGCCAACGACGACGACCACGACGAAGACGACGACGACGACCACGGCGACGACGACGACCACGACGACCACGACGACGACGACGACCATGACGACGACGACCACGACGACGACCACGACGCCGATGACGACCACGACGACGACCACGACGATGACGATGACGACCACGACGACGACGACCACGACGACGACGACCACGGCGACGACGACGATCACGACCACGACGACGACGACCATGACGACGACGACCACGACGACTACGACGACGCCGACGACGACGACCACGGGGCGCTTGAGGGGGCGCGCCCTGAGCACCGACTCCGCGAAGAAGCTGCGACATCGCAAGGGGTGACGACCGGGGCCCTGGACCCGCTGAGGCCCGTCTTGTCGGCGGCGTTCCTGAGGGACTCTTCGCCCCGCGATTGTTGCAGCCTGTGCTGAGCTAGGGGTGGGCTGGCGCTGGCGTGAGCGATGCCGTCTCCTCTGTCGCCCTGGAACTGGAAGGGAGAAGCGAAGGACGATCGAACCCGGTGAAGGCTGAGGATAGCGGCTTCCAATGGCCCTTTTAGGATTGCTCCATGCTTCGAGCCGGATCGATCCGTGAGCGGGATCGATCCGTGAGGGTCCCTGAGCTCGGTGCCAGGCGGGAGCGCCCGGTGTGAAGGAAGAGTGCAGTGCCTGGATCGCGGGGTCCGGGAGAGAGGCGGAGTCCAGGCGGAGCATCCTGGCAGGGTGCGCGGATCCTCTGGCTCACCACATGGTCGCCCCGGCTGGCCCGGCCCGGCTCCGCTGCGCCGCCTGCGCCGCCCCCGTCTTTCCAGCCGTCCGATGCTCCTCGGGACGTTTGTTAGCCCGAGTGTGTGTGTGTGTGTGTGTGGGTGTGTGTGGGTGTGTGTGTGTGTGTGTGTGTGTGTGTGCGTGTGTGTGCCCCGCCGCCGCCAGACACCTGGTGCAGCAGCCGCCGCTGGCCCGCCAGCGGGGCTGGCCGCGCCACGCGCTCGGGGCGTGACCCGTCCCCCTGAGGGGCTCGCTCTCTCCGCCCCCTCTTTCGGCCGCGTCCTCCCCCTCCCCCCTTCCTGCATGGTGGCACAATTCGCTCTAACGGCACCCCCGTTTAGGCGCCTTTCCGTTCGCGCAGACGACCCCTGCTTCGCCGCCGACGCAAGAAAGTGTGTGTGTGTGTGTGTGTGTGTGTGTGTGTTCGCTTGTGTGTTTTGTGTGTCGGCGGCGGGGTTCGATCGCAATTCGCACGTCCATGTGCTGTTCGCGCCCGAGGATCCTCCCGCGCCGCTGGCTTAGCAAAAAGTGTCGGCGGCGAGCCCGGGGGAGGGGCGGTGAGACGGGGCGGGCCTTTTTCAGAAGGCTCGGAAGTCCCCCGGCCTCCCGAGAAGGTTTCTCAGCCTTTCCCGAAGGTGCAGGTAATGTTTCAGAAGGCGCGAGGGCTTCGGAGAAGTCCCGCCGCCTTCTGAGAGGGCCTTCTCCTTGTCACTTCCCCCCTCGCTCGCGGCCGAGTGTGTTTACCCACTTCGGCTCCGCCGACAGTGTGCAGCCTGTGTTGCCTCCCGTTGTACCGCCCGCGTCGTATGGAAGGGCCTTTTAGTGGACAAGCGCACGTTGGCGCTAATACACGTTCTGAAGATCCTGGGGCCGTGCATCACCGGGCGCGTTCCACTGCTCGCAAAGTGCCTCCTCGCAAACACGTCCGACAACACATCGATGCCTCCCTGCATGGGAGTGTACCGCCGACCCCCCGCGGCGGGTCCAGGCCACCCTGCGAGGAGCTGCTTTGCGAGAGTGGTGGCATGCGCCTGTCCCGTGCAGGACGCTCCTCGCCTCCATCCCGTTCAGCGACGCGGACAAGCAGGCGCCGGGCGCGCGCCGCGGGCGCGGGGAGGCGGGGCTCCCGGGGTTGGCCCGGCGAGACAGCGGCGGCCCTCCCTCGGGCGCGTTGCCGGCCTTCTGCTGGTGGAGCTCCGAGAGGCGTCCCGTCGCCGCGGCCGCAGCCGCGTCCAAGAGCAAAGGCAGGATTTGACCCCGGAAGGGGTCTGGGGACCGATTTTGCGAGGGTTCGGGCCAGGCTCAGGTCGTTTTTTTTTTTTTTTGTTGTTTTTTTTTTTTGTTTTTTTTTTTTTTTTGTGTGTGTGTGTGTGTGTGATATTTTTCATAAAAGGGAGAAGCTGTCAAAAAGACACACGTACTGATGACATCTTCCCTGGACCATTTTTCGACCTTCTTGAATATTGCTGAGGCGTTGCGGCCAGTGCCGCCGACCCTGGAGGCCTCGGCCCTCGACGGAGATGGGAGGGAGGGGGCGGGCCATGGGCGAGTTGGTGGAGTAGCGGGAGGAGAGGGGGGTAGTGTCTGAGTGCGTGGCTTGGGACGTTCCCATGCTGTCGACGCGTGGGCGACCCCGGCGCGAGCGTTCAAGGGGGATAGTCCTCTTTTGGGCAGTGCTTTTCAGGAGCGGAAGAAGGACGTACATGTACATGAATCCACGCTGGTTTCGAGAGTTCACATTGCGCAAATATTCGTATAACGCGGCCGGTCTCACGGATCGAGGGGCCGTGTTCATGTACATAGCTGGGCGCGTACGTCCTTTGTGGGCTCCCTAGCTTTGGGACCTTCTGGGAGCGTATTGGGGCGTCTGGAGGGTTTCGTGGAAGCGTTCTGGGACTTCCGAGGAACTTCTAGGGGCCTCGTGGTGGCCTGTCGGGGCGAAGGGCTCGCCTTTTCAGTTCCGTCGTCATCGTCGTCTTCGTCGTCGGCGCCGGTGTCGTCGTCGCAGCCGTCGGCATCGAGCAGAGGTCCGTGAGCGCTGGGGCACTGCACTTCGTGCCTCCCGCCTCCGTCTTACTACGTCGTTTGACTCGTGTGGGAGTCCCCTGTGGCCGTCCTGGGGCGCTCTTGGGCCGTCTTGGGGGGCGTCGGCCATCTTGGGGCCCTCTTGGACCCTCTTGGGAACCTTTTGTGGCCCTCTTGGCTCTTGGGGGTCTCTTGGGAGCCTTTTGGGACCCTCCGGGGCTCCTCTTGGACCGTTTTGCGGCTCTCCCGGGCCGTATTGGACTTCTTTGGGGTCTGTTTGGGGTCTTCTGGTGGGCCTCTTTGGCCGTCATGGGGGCTTGTAGGGCCGTCGTGGACGCTATTCAAAGCAAGGAAGCGAATATGGTCGAAATGTACGTTTGCCGGGAGGAATGGGACATTTTTTGCTTCTTGGTGGCCTCTTGAGAGGCGTCTTGGAGCGTCATGAGAGCGTCTGTGGCCGTCGTGAAGGAGTCGTTATTTCTCTTGGAGCGCTCCTGGGCGGGTTCTGTCGATTTCGCTATGGTCTGAGTGCGACGTGGGAGCTTTGTGGAGGACTCTCGGCCTGTCCGGGGTCTTTGCTGTGCGCTCCCGACCCGCCCCGGGAGGTTGGTATTCTGACCCAGGACCCCCCCCCCGGGACCACCCTCCGGGACCCTCCAGGACCCCCCCCGGACCCCCCCCCCCTCCGCGGGGAAGGGATATCAAAGGGAAGTGTTCCCTTCGACTTGATGACGACGTTGCTCAATTTCGCTGTGGATGGGCTGGTCTATTTCCCTTTGGGCTGGCGTGCTTGACGACGAGGGCCACAGGAAAGGGAGGGAGCGGCGACGGACTCAGGGCAAGGATGGAACGTAATGGCGGCGGCGACGCGACGGCGGCAGCGATGGCGATGGCGACGGAACAGCCCCTGTCACACGCCGACAGGGTCAGATATGTGTATATATAATTATATAACTCCTCTAGAGGGACGTGCCCGACTTGAGGCCCAGCGGGAGAAGCGCCGTCATCTCAACTCGCCCGGCGATCCGGCTCCGCCCGCACGGAGAAGCCTGCCTCGTCGGGGCTCTTCGGGGCTTTTCTCCAGTTCTGGGTGTCTCGGCGCACAGAACTTGCGTCGGGCCTGTCCCTCGACAGGAGGAATATCCAGAACAAATCCAAAAATGGTCTGGGGACGATCTTTTTCTAGTGTTTCTTTGGATTATGTTTGGAGTATTTTTTAGTTCGTCTTATTTTTCGTCCACAGTCCGCCTGCAGGAGGACATCCCCGACCTAACCCAAAACCGCACGAGTTATGATGATGCGGGCCAACCGCCGTCATGCCGATAGTCGCAGAGCCTCAAACCACTGCTGACGCGTCTCTCTCTCTCTCTCTCCAAGTCTGCCCCTCTTGCACTTGCTCCTGCTTCTGCTGCTGCCAGTGCTCCTCGTCCACCTCCTCCTCATGCATCGCGCCCCGGAATCCGCGGATGCAGGTGGATCGTCGAAGTCTTCCGATGTGATGGAGGTGAGGGGAGGGGATCATTCATGCACACGCGCTCCGAGTACAGGCTTGATGTCAGAGTCGTGGCACCGTAAACGCACAAGTGCCAGCGTAGCTCTATCGTTGAGCGGTGGCCCTCTGTGACGCTCTCACCGTGCTCGGATCGATCACTTTCTTGTTTAGAGTGGGAGCCGTGCAAGCTTTTACGGTGCAGATTCAATGTGTCCGTCGCCGGTTGAGATGCACATCAGCTGAGGTGTGTAATAGTGCGATCCACGCATTCTGCGCGCAGCTGCGTTCGGTGCGAGGCGAATTGCAGTGTCTGCCACGGCGTCGGCCATAGCGAGCGGAACCGGCTGCATGTGACTGCAAGGTTGCCCCCGAGCGTTCTGCAGAGCCCAAGAGCACCGAGCGGGGCAGTCCGAGAGAGCTCCGAGAGGGCTCCGGGAGGACCCAAAGAGGCCCTCGAGATGGCCTCTGTGGGCGCCAGACTGCTCGAGAGGGCCCCGCGGAAGTCAGGAGGGCCCCGAAACGGCCCAAGAAACTTCCAGGAGGAGGCCCCCAAGAAGGCCGACGAAGGCCCCCCCAAAGGGACCCGAGATAGCCCCAAGACGACCCTGGCGGGCCCTAGGAATTCAACGACAGTCGGGTAACTTTTCAATTGATTATCGCCGACACGTGGTCTGCGTTTCCTGCACATTTGGACGTTCCAGCTGCTTCCGAAAGCACGGGGCTGCGGTCTTCGATGCATCTCTTCCTGATCCCTCCGCCTTATTCGTCCCTCCTCATTCTTTCTCCTTCCTCCTCCTCCTTCCTCCTTAGTCTCACCACTCCGATTCCTGCATCTTCTCCTCTTTCTCTCATCCACCCTCCTCGTCTCCTTGCTTTTCACAAGAGTGTGCCAATAGGGCCCTTCGATTATGGAAGCGAGTACATGCCCTTGAGCATTCATGGTTGTTTGACGAGGTCTGGGATCTCCACCTTTGTGGGGGAAGTAGCTCCATGGCGTGCGCCTACAAAGACCCCACATATGGGCCCAAGGCGCCACCAATACCCTGCGGTTTGTCATTTCCATTGGCCGGTCCTTCTTCCGTATTATGTTGTGGCGCCCAAGTTAGCTAGAACTTGAGCGCACGCGCGAAGCGCGCGCGATGCTTCGTTCTAGTTTCCACCTGATCAGCATCGCCATTGGACAAGTAGTTAATGATCCCAGGGATGTTAACAAGCAGGATGTCAAAGGCACCGATGGCAAGGTTTGCGTCAGGTGGCGCATCTAGAAACACGGGCAGTTGTGGGCATCCGAGCATTGGGGCTCTAGTGATTCACGACGTTGCGCGCTTCTCGAGATACTCTTGTCCCCTCAGTTGCGGAAATGAACTGTCAGCGGTTTTGCTGGTTTGCGAAGATGATCGAACCACGAACCCGGAAAGGGATTTAGAACTGCGAGGCGTGGAAAAAACGTTTCAAGGCACCTCAATGGGACGATGGGCAGTGGCAATGCTGAAGATACCGATGGTGATGAAACTGTACCAGGGGCTATTTTGTGCTGCGCTGCGCTGTGCCGTGCCATACAGTGACGTGCCATGGGACGCGCCAAGGGACATGCCACGGGACGCGCTGCGGGACATGCCATGGGGAGGCTCCGCGGAACGTCCCAAGCGACGCGCCAGGGAACGTGCCATAGGGACGCACCGCGGAAAGTGCCAAAATGCACGCGCCACGGAACGTGCCAGTGAACGTGCCATGGGACGTGCCAGGGGACGCGCCGCGCGACGTGCCAGGGGGACGCGCAACGGGACGCGCCACGGAACGTGCCAGGGAACGTGCCGGGCGACGCGCCAGGGGACGTGCCAGGGGACGCGTCAGCGAACGTGCCACGGGACGCGGGCCAAGGTGTCAAGATGTCAGCGCCCCGTTAGTAGTCAAGATGTCAAGGGCCACACGATCCCTCGTAAATTACTTGCGTCCAACTCCTCATGTTAGACATCCGCCTGGTCGACCTGGACGCATGAAAACAAGCGTTTCGTTCTAGGCATTATCAGCACACCTTCAGGTTAAACATATGCTTGGACGACCTGGGCACATGAACGCAATCGTTTCGCTCGAGACCTCCGCAACAAACCTATCCTAAAATGAACGGGAAACGCGTGAAATCGAATATCATGGTAATATAATGCACCAGCAGTGGGATCAATTGTATCATAGGCGCTCTTCCCGAAGGTCCACAGGGGGTACGAGGTGGAGTTCACTACCTGCTCAAGTTCATACGTGGCGCAGAACTGGCGCACTTTATGACCTTGCCCTGTTCAAGGTGAGCATGACTCCGAGGGTGCAATGCCCAGTGGAGAAGGAAGGGGGGCAACGTCAGAATCTTAATTGAATTTCCCGCTTGATTCGCTCTGGGCAGAATGGAGCCCACGTGATTTCACGTTGATTCCGCTTTGGGGAGAGGGACCCACGTGATTTCACGCTCATTCCGCTCTGGAGCGAAAGGGACCCTCGTGATTTCACGCTGACTCCGCCCTTGGACGAAAGGATCCCACGCGATTTCACGCTCACTCCGCTCTGGGGCGAAAGGGGCCCTCGTGATTTCGCGCTCGCTCCGCCCTGGGGCGAAATGGACCCACGGGCTCAGAATCCTTGCAAAGGTCGCGTTCTGGAACGGGCGGAACACGCGGGAGGAGGTCCAGAAGCTCAGAACCCTCGCAACCGTCGCGTGCCGGAGAGGGGGGGGGGGCGCAACGCGCGGGAGGAGTTCCAGAGGCTCCAGATCCTAGCAGTTGTCCGCTTTTCCAAACCATGCGTGTCGCTCGAGACATCCTCAATATTTCTGCGCGAAGGACGCGCCATCCTCGAGCGGGGACACAAACAGTCGGCATTTCCATTTTTTTGCATAATTTTAGGGTCTCGCGAATTCTGCGGAAAACGCTCGGTGCTTTTCTTTCAAGGGAACACGAAGGTCAGTGGACCTCGTTATTTATCGCGGATCCGACATGGGGCGTCCACTTTCCTCGAGCGGGGACGCGCGAGACGCATTTTTTCTGCGCAGCATGCGACTTTGCCTCACTATTTTCCGATTGGAATTCCGCCGGCCTCCCCCCAACATGGCACTCAGGGACAAGTTTACCAAATCAAAGAGAACCCTGGGCCTACGCGCTTTCCCGGAAAATCGTTGGTGGGTCGCGGGGTGGGTCGCGGGATGGGGCGCGGGGTGGTTCGTGGGTGGGTCGCTGGTGGGTCGCAGGTGGGCCGCAGGCAGGTGGGAAGGGGGGTCGCAGGGGGATCGCGGGTGGGCCAGGGGGGCGGGGGCGACAACCAAGAACGACACTCCGCGTCGCCGAACCCCACTTCAGCCACGCACGCAGGAACAGTGTAATATCGTTCGCTCGTAAGGATCGGTTGTTCATACATATTGGAAGTGGCAATGACATCTGAATATCTGTTTTTTCTGCGACATCGAACTTATTTGAGGGAGTTTCTGTGGAACTCACGTCATCCTCACCCCCGGCGCGAAGAGCACGAGTCCAGAGCGGCCTCCGGCACCGTTTCCGGACGGATCCGCTGGATCCGGTGGATCCGGTGACGAATCCCAAACCGGCGCCCTCGCTTGAGACATCCTCACAAAACCGGCCCCGGGGGAGGTGCCCAGAGGAGCCCAGAGCGGCCTCCGGCACCGTTTCCGGACAGATCCGATGGGATCCGCTGGATCCGGTGACGAATCCCAAACCGGCGCCCTCGCTTGAGACATCCTCACAAAACCGGCCCCGGGGGAGGTGCCCAGAGGAGCCCAGAGCGGCCTCCGGCACCGTTTCCGGACAGATCCGGTGGATCCGCCGACGAATCCCAAACCGGCGCCCTCGCTTGAGACATCCTCACAAAACCGGCCCCGGGGGAGGTGCCCAGAGGAGCCCAGAGCGGCCTCCGGCACCGTTTCCGGACAGATCCGGTGGATCCGCTGGAGCGGTGACGAATCCCAAACCGGCGCCCTCGCTTGAGACATCCTCACAAAACCGGCCCCGGGGGAGGTGCCCAGAGGAGCCCAGAGCGGCCTCCGGCACCGTTTCCGGACAGATCCGGTGGATCCGCTGGATCCGGTGACGAATCCCAAACCGGCGCCCTCGCTTGAGACATCCTCACAAAACCGGCCCCGGGGGAGGTGCCCAGAGGAGCCCAGAGCGGCCTCCGGCACCGTTTCCGGACAGATCCGCTGGATCCGGTGACGAATCCCAAACCGGCGCCCTCGCTTGAGACATCCTCACAAAACCGGCCCCGGGGGAGGTGCCCAGAGGAGCCCAGAGCGGCCTCCGGCACCGTTTCCGGACAGATCCGGTGGATCCGGTGACGAATCCCAAACCGGCGCCCTCGCTTGAGACATCCTCACAAAACCGGCCCCAGGGGAGGTGCCCAGAGGAGCCCAGAGCGGCCTCCGGCACCGTTTCCGGACAGATCCGGTGGATCCGCTGGATCCGCTGGATCCGGTGACGAATCCCAAACCGGCGCCCTCGCTTGAGACATCCTCACAAAACCGGCCCCGGGGGAGGTGCCCAGAGGAGCCCAGAGCGGCCTCCGGCACCGTTTCCGGACAGATCCGGTGGATCCGCTGGATCCGCTGGATCCGGTGACGAATCCCAAACCGGCGCCCTCGCTTGAGACATCCTCACAAAACCGGCCCCGGGGAGGTGCCCAGAGGAGCCCAGAGCGGCCTCCGGCACCGTTTCCGGACAGATCCGCTGGATCCGGTCCGGATCCGCCGACGAATCCCAAACCGGCGCCCTCGCTTGAGACATCCTCACAAAACCGGCCCCGGGGGAGGTGCCCAGAGGAGCCCAGAGCGGCCTCCGGCACCGTTTCCGGACAGATCCGGTGGATCTGGATCCGCCGGTGCCGACGAATCCCAAACCGGCGCCCTCGCTTGAGACATCCTCACAAACCGGCCCCGGGGGAGGTGCCCAGAGGAGCCCAGAGCGGCATCCGGCACCGTTTCCGGACAGATCCGGACAGATCCGGTGGATCCGCGCCCCGGGGGAGGTGCCCAGAGGAGGAATGAGGAAAAGGAGGAGGAGGAGGAGGAGGAGGAGAAGATGATGGAGCTGCGGGGTGGAGGAGGACAGACGGAGGCAAGAGGAGGATGGAGGAGGAGGAGGAGGAGGAGGAGGAGGAGGAGGAGGAGGAGGAGGAGGAGGAGGAGGAGGAGAAGATGATGGAGCTGCGGGGTGGAGGAGGACAGACGGAGGCAAGAGAAGGATGGAGGAGGAGGAGGAGGAGGAGGAGGAGGAGGAGGAGGAGGAACCTCATCCTCACCCTCACCAACAGGCGCACGCACCTTCTTCTATATACAGAAACTCCCGATCAACCGCAGAGCGGCCGGCTAGTAATTTCGGAGATGCCGTGCATTTGCAGTTTAGCTGGTACGCAAGTTTCCGACTTGCCATTCCGGCCCGAAGTTTTTGTTGAACCTCAGCGTATCCTGCAACTTGTGCAGTGTTCTCCCTTCAGTTGTGTGTGAATACATCGGGCAGCAATGGCACACTTTCTTCGGTCTGCGTTGATTGTTGTTGCCCTTGGCGCAGTCGTTGATGGTGCCAGGGCGAGATACAATGTGAGCCTGTCGGCAGAAAACAATGCTTCGAATTGGGGTGCTACTCGCTCTGCTTGCGAGTACTACTACAAGATAGCAGACGGTGACTGTGCGGACTACTGTTTAGGATCTTACTTCAATTTCTGCCCGCGTTCTCTCATCACGAGCGCGGGTGGCCTGACCGTTGGCGCATGCATCAGTCTCAATTACACAACCTTCATCGAGGACTACTCCGTGACAGCTGGGCCCTGCGGGACCATAGTCTTCAAGAAGTACACGAATGGGACTGGAGTGCAGGCTCTTCTGGACCTCAGTTCCGGTGCCGTGGATGGCACGCGGGCGAGGTACACTGTGAACGTGTCGGTGGAGGACAATGCTTCAATTCGGGGTGCGTCTCGCTCTGCTTGCGAGTACTACTACAAGATAGCAGACGGTGACTGTGCGGACTACTGTTTAGGATCTTACTTCAATTTCTGCCCGCGTTCTCTCATCACGAGCGCGGGTGGCCTGACCGTTGGCGCATGCATCAGTCTCAATTACACAACCTTCATCGAGGACTACTCCGTGACAGCTGGGCCCTGCGGGACCATAGTCTTCAAGAAGTACACGAATGGGACTGGAGTGCAGGCTCTTCTGGACCTCAGTTCCGGTGCCGTGGATGGCACGCGGGCGAGGTACACTGTGAACGTGTCGGTGGAGGACAATGCTTCAATTCGGGGTGCGTCTCGCTCTGCTTGCGAGTACTACTACAAGATAGCAGACGGCGACTGTGCGGACTACTGCTTAGGATCTTATCTGAAGGGCTTCGCCCTTCGCCGCTGCCCCCCCCGCAAAGCTTGCACGGCCACGCTTGGTTGTCAGTTCGGCTCGTTTTCTTGTCCGCTGGCTGGCTGGCAGCTGGGCTGATTGGCTTGTTGTTTGATTTGGGCTGTTTGCTGTTTGATTTGGGCTGTTTGCTGGATAGCTGTTTGCGCGTATCTCATGGCCGTCGGCCCATCCCGCCACCGTGCCTGGGTTGTGGGTCTGAAGCCTATTGGATGTTTGTTGGGATCTCGTGGGAGGCTTCTCGGGAACCTCTTGGAGGCAGTTTGGAGGGCTTTGGGGGGCCGTTTTGTGGCCGCTTGGGGCATCTTTTGGGCCTCTTGTGGGCCTCTTGGGGCCTCTTGTGGGCCTCTTGGGGGCCTCTTAGGGCCTGTTGGGCGCCTCTTGGGGCGTCTTGGGCGCCTCTTGGGGCCTCCTTGGGGCCTCTTGGTGCGGTGTTCCCCTTCTTGGGCCCGTCCTCAAGGCCTCTTGGGCCATCCTGAGGTCATCTTGGGCGTCCTGGGCCGACCCTTCGGCGGCTCGGGGCTCTCTTGGACGGCCTTGGGGGCCTTGTGGGGCCCCCTTGGCCCCTGGGGCCCGCACACGTCGCGCGGCAGGATGCGGGGAAGCCCCCGGGGGCACGCGGGGGGCCCCCGGGGGGGGCACGCGGGCAGCCCCCGGGGGTGCGCGCGCCGAGCCCCGGGGGAGAGTCGAGGCTGCGGGGTCTCGGGGCCCCGTTGAAGACCCCTCGGGAGTGAGGGCCGAGGCGTAGGCGACCGAGCACAGATGGCCCCTCCTCCTCCTCCTCCTCCTCCTCCTCCTCCTCCTCCTCCTCCTCCTCCTCCTCCTCCTCCGCCTCCTCGCGATCCGTCTGGCCCCTTATGGGCCGCCAGGCATAGCAGAAAACCGAAACCCCGACACAAACTGAATCCATGGTTTCTCTGATGCAGGACCTGAGGACTCGCCCACTCCGTGCCCAGCGGCACGGTGGCGCGCTGGTTCATCCAGGGGTGGCGGCCTCGGGAGCGCGCTTCCAGCGCAATCTGCCAAGGTTCGAGGCTTCGGGAGCGCGCGCTCCCAGCTGTTTACGCTAGGTCGAGGCGGTGGGCCGAAAGCGCCCCCAGATTTCTTTTTTCGTCGACGGCGAGGCAGAGGCAGTCCGCACCAGCGTGGGGCGAATCGGGGCAACCGGTAGGCAAATTGTCCGGGGCGCGGGAGGGAGAGACGAAGACGAGGGCGGCCGCGCGAGGGAGGGATGGGGGAGGACGCCCAGACGCGGAAGAGTTCGGCGATGAGCGGGCCGGTTGTGCCCCCAGAACGCACATCCGAGTACAGCAAATGCAGGTTTTGCCTGTTCTGGAGAGGGGGTGGCGCTCCGGGGCGGCCTTCGTGGGGTGGGTCCGGGGCCTCGGGAACGGTCAGTGCTTAGTAATTCACAAGCGTTTTTGTTGTTGTTCGGTGTTTTTTGTTGGTCGTTTTTTGTTGTTCTGTTCTTTTCGGTCAGTCAGAGTTGGGCGACTGTGTTCTCGAAAGCACATCAACGGTTGAAGCTTACGAGGGGGCTGTGGCCTTGGGAGAGCGAGCCTGGCGCAACTTGCATGGGAGTGTGGCTTGGGGGCGCGATCCTGTGGCCATTTGCGAAAGACTGGCCTCGGGAGCGCGGGCCTGCCGTAATTGCAGAGCACGCTGTCCTCGTGGGTGCGAGTCGGTAGCAATTCCGACGTGTAGTTCGGGGAGCGCGGGCACGAAGGGCGCCGAGGGCGCGGCGGGCGGCGACGGGAAGGGCGCCGAGGACGGCGGCGCGAAGGGCGCCAAGGACGGGGATCACCTCGACGAGCTCGGCTCGCGGAACGAGGGCGAGGGCGGCGTCGGCGAGGGGGGCGGCGCCGACGAGCAGGGCGGCAACGTTTAGGAGGGATTGTGGTTCGGGGCGCGCGGCTCTGAGCAGTGCACAGAAATTGTTGTTGCCTCGGGGGTGCAAGGCTGGTGTGCTTTACAAGAGGGTTGTGTCGGCAGGAGCGCGGACCCGGTGGACTTTTGAGCGTCCCGTGGAAAACTCCAAGAAATTTGAGCACCCTCACTGGGAAGGGAATTCGATGATTTTCGGGCTCCCCCTCATCGCGCGGATTCGATTTATCGATGTATTTCAACAGTGGACAGAGAACGGATATGGAGCCCCAAGAAATTGAATAACCCCATGGGGATGGGAATTTTGGTACTTTTCGGCCTTTCTTTCGCGCGTTCTTCAGTTATCACGACAGTGGAAAGAGATATGATCGACCCACGAACCCGGAAAGGAAGACAGTCATGTAAGGCACGACAGCGTTTCAAAGACACTTGATTGGGCGACGGGCAAACGCAATATTGAGTGTACCGATCTTGATGTACCGTGCCGATGACTGTGCTGTGCTGCGCCGTGCTGAACTGCGATGTGCCATGCCGCGATTGTGCTCTATAGCGTTGTGGATCGAGTCCTCCTTTGCATCCGAGTCCTGACCGAACTGGTCTGGATCGTAAGCTCGAGCTGCCTGAGCACATAGTAGCTGCCCCAGAGCTCATTGACAGGGGGACATGCTAGGAGGACGCGCCGCGGAACGTCCCAAGAGACGCGCCAAGCGACGTGCCAGGGAACGTGCCATGGTGACTCACCGCGGGACGTGCCAAGGGGACGCGCTACGGGACGTGCCAATGGACGTGCCACGGGACGTGCGAGGGGACGCGCCGCGCGACGTGTCAGGGGGGCTCGCCACGGGACGCGCCACGGAACGTGCCAAGGACCGTGTCAGGTTGCACTGCTGAGTGTACCGATCTTGATGTACCGTACCGAGGGCTGTGCTGTGCTGCGCCGTGCTGAACTGCGATGTGCCATGCCGCGATCGTGCTCTATAGTGTTGTGGATCGAGTCCTCCTTTGCATCCGAGTCCTGACCGAACTGGTCTGGATCGTAAGCTCGAGCTGCCTGCGCACATAGTAGCTGCCCCAGGGCTAATTCACATGGGAACACGCCAGGAGGACGCCCTGCGGGACGTTCCAAGGGACGCGCCAGGCGACGTGCCAGGGGACGTGCCACGTTGACGCACCGCGGGACGTGCCAAGGGGACGCGCTGCGGAACGTGTTTGGGACAATGGTTTCGCTCGAGACATTCTGACCAAATCCTCACGCTAGACATCCGCCTGGGCGACCTGGACACCTGCAAACAAACGTACGCCATGTTAGATATCCCCATGGGCGGCCTGGACACGTAAAAACACGTGGTTCCAGTTCGGGACAATCATGTGAGATACCCTTCCTGGGTGGTCTGAACATGTAAAAGCACGTGGATTCAGCTCTGGGCAACCATGTTAGATACACCCCTGGGTGGCCTGGGCACGTTCAAACACGTGGTCTTTGCTCTGGGCAACCATGGTAGATCCCCCCCTGGGTGGCCTGGACACGTAAAAACGTGGGTGCCAGCTCTGGGCAACCATGTTAGATCCACCACTGGGTGGCTTGCACACGTTAAAACACGTGGTCCTTGCTCGAGGTAACCATGCTAGATGCCCCCCTGGGTTGCCTGGACACTTGAAAACACGTGGTGCCTGCTCGGGACAACCACGTCAGATACACCCCTGGGTGGCATGGACACGTTGAAACACGTGGTCCTTGCTCGGGGCAATCAGGGTAGATACCCCCCTGGGTGGCCTGGACACGTAGAAACACGTGGTTCCAGCACGCTGAATTCGCGCTCCCGCTCGAGACATCCTCGCAATGTCTTCCCTGGAGAGGCCCCCCAAAGCGCCATCCCCTGTCCAGAGCAAGCTAACACTTTTCTGTATTGGGATATGGGTTCGGGTAGCGCTTTTTGGCCCCCCCCCGTGCGTTTCTTGATAATTCGGCGTTGGACCCGACGCCATGGTAGATACCCCGCCTGGGCGGCCTGGACACGTAAAAACACGTGGTTCCAGTTCGGGACAATCATGTTATGAACCCCCCTGGGTGGCCTGGACACGTAAACGCACTAGGTTCCAGCACGGGGCCACCATGTTAGATACCCTCGTATGTTGCCTGGACACTTGACAGCACGCGGTTCAAACGCAGGACCACCATGTTATATATCCCTCCTGGGTGGCCTGGACACGTAAAAACAAGTGGTTCCAGCTCGGGACCACCATGTTACATACCCCTCTGGGTGGCCTGGACACGTAGAAACAATTGGTTCCAGCTCTGGACAACCACATTAGATACCTCCCTGCGTGGCCTGGATACGCTGAATTCGCGCTCCCGCTCGAGACATCCTCGCAATGTCTTCCCTGGAGAGGCCCCCCAAACGCCACCCCCTGTCCAGAGCAAGAACACATCACTTTTCTGCATTGGGATATGAGTTCGGGTAGCGTTTTTCGGCCCCCCTGTGCGTTTCCTGATAATTCGGCGTTGGGCCCGACGCCATGTTAGATACCCCCCTGGGCGGCCTGGACACGTAAAAACATGTGTTTCCAGTTCGGGACAATCATGTTACATACCCCCCTGGGTGGCCTGGACACGTAACAGCACTAGGTTCGAGCACGGGACCACCCTGTCAGTTGGGATCACCATGTTAGATACCCCCCTGGGTGGCCTGGACACGTGAAAACACGTGATTCCAGCTCCGGGCCACCATGTTAGATACCCCCGAAACTCATGGTTCCAGCCCACCCAGGGGGGATATCCAACATGCGGTCGTCTTGGGCGGCAGCGAGGGACACCGTTGGATACCCCCTCTGGCCGACCTGGGCACGTGAAAACAAGCATTTCGCTTGAGACATTCTTTAAATTCTGGCCCCCACGAGGCCCCCGCTCGAGACACCTACCAAATCTGCAAAAGCAGCGTTTCGCTCGAGACATCCTCAACACATTCTGAACAATAAGCGTTTCGCTCGAGACATCCTCAAGAACAATTCGCCTGCCCTGGGCGACCTCATTATTTATCGCAAATAATTTCGCCGGCCCTACAGCCGTCGAAACCAACAGGATTGACCCGCGAACCCGGAAAGCAATATAGAAATGAGACGCATGGAAGCGCTTCACGACACCTAATTGGTCGACGGGCAATTGCAGTGCTCAAGGTAACGATGATGTACAGTGCCACACGCTGTGCTGTGCTGTGCCATGCTGTGCCGAGGTGAAATGTGTTGCGCCGCTTTGAATCACGCTGTGCGCTGTTTCATTGTGGGTCAAGTCGTCCTCGGCGTCCGACTCCTGGCCGAACTGATCTGGATCTTGAACTCGAGCTGCCTGAACGCATAGCTCGCCCAGAACTGGTTGCAATCGAAACGTGCGGGGCGTTGAACCAGCCCGAAGCATGCGAAGTCCGCGCGGGTTCGCTCACAATGTCGAACCACTACCTGCTCTGTGGTGCCGAGCCGTGCTGCGATGTGATACACGAAGAGGCGCACCGCGGGATGCGCCAGGGGCCGCGCCACGGTACGTGCAAGGGCGCGCCGCGGGACGCGCCATGGGGCGTGCCACGCGACGTGCCAAGGAAAACGCCACGGACGTGCCGCGGGACGCGCCAGAAAGACATGCCATGGAAACACCATGGGACGTGGCAAGGGACGCGCTAGCGGACGCGTCGGGTGACGTCCCAGGGGGGGGGGTCCCAGGGGGCGCGCCAGGGGGCACGCACAATAACGTACCAAGGGACGCGCCAGGGGACGTGCCAGGGGACGCGCCGCGCGACGTGCCAGGGGGACGCGCCGCGGAACGTTCCAAAAGACGTGCCAGAGGGACGCGCCACGGAACGTGCCAATGGACGCGCCAGGGGACGCGCCGCGCGAAGTGCCAGGGGGACGCGCCACGGGACGCGCCACGGAACGTGCCAGGGAACGTGCGAGGCGACATGCCAGGGGGCGTACGCGTCGTTTGAGCTCGGGACAACCATGCTAAATACCCTCCTGTGTGGGATGTGGTTCCAGCTCGGGACCGCCATGTGGGATATTCCCTGGGTGGCGTGGACACGTGCAAGCACGCGGTTCCAACGCGGTATCACAGTGTTAGATACCTACCTGGGTGTCGTGAATACGTGAAAACGCGTGGTTCCAGCTCGGGACCACCATATTAGATACCCGCCTGGGTGGCCTGCACACGTGAAAACACTTGGTTCCAGCGTGGGACCACCATGTTAGATACCCCCTGGGTGGCCTGGACACGTGAAAACACGTGGTTCCAGCTCGGGACCGCCATGTTAGATACCACATGGGTGGTTGGAACACGTGAAAACACGTGGTTCCAGCTCAGGACCACCATGTCAGATACCCCCTTGGGTGGCGTGGACACGTGAACACACGCGGTTCCAGCGCGGGGCCACCATGTTAGATACACCTTGTTGGCGACCTGGGCACGTGAAAACACGTGGTTCCAGTGCGGGACCATCATGTTAGACACCTCCTGGGTGGCCCCGACAGGTGAAACACGTGGTTCCAGCTCGGGACCAACATGTTAGATACCCACCTGGGTGGCCTGTACACGTAAAACACGTGGCCCCAGCGCGGGACCACCATATTAGATACCCTTTTGTGTGGCCTGGACACGTGAAGACGTGGTACCAGCTCGGGACCACCATGTTAGATACCCACCTGGGTGCCCTGGACATGTGAAGCGACGTGGTTCCAGCTCGGGCACAACATGTTAGATACCCTCCTGTGTGGCCTGGACACGTGAAAACACGTGGCTTCAGCTCGGGACCACCATGTTAGATACACCTTTGTTGGCG